AAAACTTTTGGAGTGAGTCCCTTAGTCAAGGGATCTGCAACCATCGCCTCTGTATTGATATGCTCTATTTTCGTCTGCCCTTCTTTGACTCTGTCTCTAACAACCAAATATTTGATGTCAATATGTTTTGATCCACCAGAACTTTTATTATTTTTTGAAAAGAATACTGCTGCACTGTTATCACAGTAGATGGTGATCGGTCTTGAGATGGAATCAACAGCTTTCAAACCAGAGATGAAATTTCTTAACCAAACGGCTTGGACTGTAGCCCCATAACATGCCACGAATTCAGCTTGCATATTAGAAGATGCCACTAAAGTCTGTTTAACACTTTTCCAAGAAATGACACACCAGCTAATGTAAAAATATAACCTGAGGTTGATTTCAAATCATCTTGACATCCAGCAAAATCAGAATCTGAATATCCTACCACCTCAAGATGATTTGTACGCTGGAATGTAAGTATATAACCTTCAGTTTTCTTCAAATATCTCATAACTTTCTTAGCTGCTTTCCAATGTTCTTGTCCTGGATTAGACTGAAATCTGCTAAGGACACTTACTGCGTAGGCTATATCCGGTTTAGTGCAAACTTGAGCATACATCAAGCCCCCTACAGCACTAGCATATGAGATCATCTTCATAGACTCCCTTTCCAGCTCATTCCTTGGACATTGAGTTTTGTTAAACTTATCTCCTTTTATGATAGGTACATCACCAGGTGCACAATTCTGCATGTTAAACCTTTCTAGAACACGTCGTATATAAGCTTTTTGAGAAAGTCCCAATAAACCACGATTTCTATCATGATGTATTTCAATGCCAAGTACATAGGAAGCTTCTCCAAGATCTTTCATCTCAAAATTAGCAGACAACATTTTCTTTGTCTCATGAAGCAGCCCTAAGTTACTGCTAGCAAGCAGAATGTCATCAACATACAATACAAGAAAAATAAAATTTCTCCCACTGGTTTTAAGATAAATGCATTGATCAATAGTATTTTCGACAAAACCAAAATATGTCACAACCTCATCAAACTTTAAATACCACTGTCGAGATGCTTGCTTGAGACCATATAAGGATTTGTTTAACTTACACACCAAGTTTTCTTTTCCTTTTACAACAAAGCCTTCAGGTTGTTTCATATAAACCATTTCAGAAAGATCTCCATTCAAAAATGCTGTCTTAACATCCATTTGATGAAGCTCCAAATTATAGTGTGCCATAAGAGTCATGATAATTCGAAAAGGATCTTTCGACGAAACAGGGGAGAAGGTTTCAACATAATCAATGCCTTCTCGTTGAGTGAAACCTTTTGCAACCAATCTTGCTTTCTTTCATTCAACGTTTCCTTTTGAATCTAATTTACTTTTGAAAATCCACTTGTTATCTACAGCCTTAGCATCTTGAGGAAGTTCAACAAGATCCCAAACTTTATTCCTTTCCATGGAATTCATTTCATCTTCCATGGCAGCTATCCATTTATCTGTCTCAGGACTTGTCAATGCTTGATTATAAGTTACAGGATCAACAATATGCCCAATATTAAAATCGCTCTCCAATAAATATGTAACATAATCACTGGGCAATGCAGATCTTCTTTCCCTTTGTGATCTCCTAACTTGTGGCTCAGGAACCGATTCAATCGTTGTTTGAGGAATTGGAGATTCCTCCTAGTTTCTCGGTTCTTCATTAACAACTTCAATTGGTTGGGAATCAGCTCTTTCCTGTATGATGGGAACTGGAACAACAACTTGATTGTGTTCAACAAGAATTTCTCTCAACGTGGAACTCCCACAGTCTCCAAAATCGTTCTCCAGAAACTTAGCAGTAATGGACTCCACAATTCTAGTGCCGCGATTTGGACAGTAAAACTTACATCCCTTTGATCTATCCGGATACCCAATAAACTAGCCAGGAGTTGATTTAGGGTCTAATTTCTTTTCAAATGGATTATAAATCCTAACCTCAGCTGGGCATCCCAAAACTTTAAAATGAGCCAAACTTGGCTTACGTCCTGTCCATAATTTTATGTCCTGTCCATAATTCAAAAGGTGTCTTTGCAACAGCTTTACTTGAAACTCTGTTCAAAATATACATAGCTGTTTTCAAGGCTTCACCCCACAAATATTCAGGCAAATTTGTTCTACTCATCATACTTCTAACCATATCTTTTAGAGTTCGATTACGTCTTTCAAAAACACCATTCTGCTCAGGTGTCCCTGGCATGGTGTATTGGGGCACTATTCCACACTCTTGTAAAAATTTTGCAAAATCACCCATATTTTGACCAGACTCGTCATATTTCCCATAGTACTCACCACCTCGGTCAGATCTTACAACTTTGATACTTTTCCCACATTGTTTCCCCACTTCCAGTTTGAAAATTTTGAATTTTTCAAGTGCATGTGATTTGTCGTTAATCAAATAAGCATATCCATATCGTGAGAAATCAACAATGAAAGTTATGAAATATTTATTCCCACATATAGTGGAAAGCAAAGGTCCACTGATATCAGTGTGAATTAAGTCAAAAATTCCATTACTCCTAGTCGAACCCTTCCTCGTAGACTTAGTTAACTTTCCTCTTATACAATCTATACAGGTGTCAAAATCGGAGAAGTCTAAGGAAGGAAGTATCTCATCTTTTACTAATCTTTCCATTCTATCCTTAGAAATATGACCAAATCGCTTATGCCACAACATAGAGGATGATTCATGAATTAAAGCCCTTTTCTTTGATACATTTGTAACACACGAGACATCACCAAAAGAAGCCAAAGATAATTTATATAAACCATCACATAAAATGTCATTTCCAATCAAACGAGAATCATTAAATAACTTAACCATTCCATTACCAAAATTAAATGTAAAACCACAAGCATCAAGTTTTGGTATAGAAATTAAATTCCGTCTCATCTGCGGTACATAAACTGTATTTTCCAAAACAAGATAAAAACCAGACTCTAAAGTTAACTTCACTACTCCTATGAATTCAACCTTCACTTGGAATCCATTTGCAACGCTCAAACTTACTTCATTCTCACTTGGCCTCCATTTGCTTATGAACCTCTACAAGGAATTCACAATATGAATACTAACTCCTGAGTCTAACCACTAAGAATTCAAAGGTACATCTACTAAAGAAGACTCAAAACAAACTAAGGCCAAGGGAATATCTGAAGAACTCTTCTTCTTTTCCAACCAAGTCTTGAACTTAAAACAGTCTTTCTGCCAGTGACCCTTCTTTTTACAGAACTTGCATTGATCATTTTTCTTTATAACTGCTTTGGGACCACTAAGATTTTTATTCTGCTGACTTCGGTGGGACTTATTACCCTTACGAAACTTAGGTTTATGATTATGAGAAGGCCCCTTATTCTGTGATGGCTGAAAAGCTAATTGCACAGTTTCAACAGTTTCACGGCGCATCCTATACTCTTCTTGGGCACACACTGCTATGAGGTCATTCAAATTTCACTTATCCCGCTGAGCATTGTAAGCAACCTTAAGCTGATTAAACTTGCTAGGAAGGCTATTCAAAACATGATAGACCAGGAAAGGCTCCGTAATGGGAATGTCAAGAGCTTTTAGCTTAGATGATATATTTATTATTTTCATGACATGCTCCCTAACACCACTTGTACCGTCATATTTCATGCTCATAAATTTATCCATAAGATCCCCAGTTTCGGCTTTATCAGACTCAATAAATTTTTCTCCGATGGCATCCATAAAACTTTTGGCATTTTCATTATTAGGGATGGCACCTAGAATGGAATCAGATATCGATCGCTTAATAATTTTTAAACAGAGTTTATTAGCCCTTTCCCACTTTTCATGCTCGGTTACATATTCAAAGGTACTCTTATCCGTGGGTTTTTCAAGCTTTTTCTCCATTGCAAAATCCAAGCCTAAAAGACCAAGTGCTATTTCTACGTCTTGTTTCCATCTCACATAGTTATTCACAGTCAAAGTTTCAATAGCAGACAATTGATTCGAAAGAGATGAGGCATTATAAACTGTGGAAGCATAAAATATCACTCTTAATATCATCCAAACTTAATGCATGCAATCAAATGGATGATGAAATATCCAACTAATTAATATGGGTTATTAATTAGATGATCCGTAATTTAAATCGAGACATATAAATTTTATTACGGTAAGAGCCTAGATGCATCATCATAAAGTCACCTTTGGGTCGACAATACAACATGCTATAAGGTACTCTTAAAACACATCATGTAGCTAGTTAGCAAAATCACATTGGTTTTCGAAATACCAACACCTTTGGGCAGAAGGAAATTTCTAAACCAAAATAAGCTCATTAACTTTCTCATGCCATTTTCCAAAAATATTACATATAATAACACCTTTGGGCAAGATATTATATGCAATAAATCAAAAATTGTTGGGCAAAAATATATGTATTTTTATTGTAGAGAAAATCGAATAAATAAAAATGAGTGTGCCACTTTGGCAGTTATCATCCATTTTTATTTCAAAATGTTTCTCTCTTAGTGGGAAAATAAGAATCATCTCAATGCCCATGAAAAATTTAATCACAGAAGTTATCCAACAAATCATAATCATTAATTGATGAAAGACAAGAAATCTATACGTGATTAACATTAAGAGACGAAATTGGCAAAAAAATTTCAAAATGAAATTTAATGCATAAATAATGGCATTATAAACACTTTAATTAAAAATATAGAAGTCGTCAATCAATTATTTATTTATTTATTTATTTATTTGATATAATTTTAAACAGGTCAAAATTAAAATTTTAATTGAGTCAAAATTGAAATTTTATGGACAAAGCTTTTAAATCCAATTTCAAAATTCAAATTTAATCCCTTTTCGAAAATTGCACCTTGATCCTAGTTAAAATTAAAACCGGGTCCTCCAGCTTCTCAAATTACAAATATGCCTTTTTTAAATAATCGCAATCTGACCCCAATTGTTAATTGCATGCTGGGGCCTTTTAACTTCTCAAATTACAACATGACCCCTGTCTTCCTTATTCAGCTCGTTTCATATACAACAATCACAATTAACAACCAAGCATTTAGGGCAAATCCAACACAAAATCAATTATAAATCCAACAATCCCTAACTCTCACTTCAATCAGTTTGTAAAAACGTAGTTTACTAGAAGTTGGAACTCTATTGAGGCAAAATCCAACTACTTGCAACAAATCGGGAGATCGATTATCATTGCTGCAAGATCCGAATTAATTGCAACAGCCCGGAGGATCGACGACGGTCATCCAACATGCGATTGGGACAGGGTGAGCGAGTGGGATTTTATTTTATTATTTATTATTATTATTATTTTTTTATTTATTTCTGTATTGGTATAGAATGAAAGGGAAATTTGGATTAGTGTTTCAAGCCACCACCATTAACGGCCCAGAAAAAGAATACGTTAATCCCAAGAACCTTCAGGTGTGAGGCAGTGGGAATAGCTTCCGCAAGGTTTGGTTTCTTTACATATGTTTTTATAATTATACATATATGCATACATGAATTTATACGCACAGAAAACTTTTAATGCAAGTTTTGTGTTCAAGTTATGTATATAATTATGGTGTTTCTGGGAATTGATTCTCTGTAAATTTGAGTTCAAGTCATACAGACAATTATATACACATACACGACTGCACTGCACAGAAACCTTTCTTTTTCCCCTTTTTTTTTATTTGATGTAAGGACAAAAGAGTTTAAAAACAATAATTGGTTTTTAATTATGGATTCTAGTTCTTAACACGCTGCTCTGATATCAATTGTTAATATTTAATGTCAATCATGCTAAGAATCAAGAATCACAAAATGATAAATTGATAAATCGAATTCATACCTGCGGAAGCCATTGTTGATATGAATTATAGTTGTCATAGTAGACAAGATCTTCCCTTCCTTGCTCCTCACAAAAGTATTAGCTATCAATGGGGCAAGCTACACACATAGAGAGGAGAGGGGACCTAGCCTTTATATATAGAAAATAATTGAGCGTCCCATTACGACTAGAATTCTAATTAGGGTTTATTTTCGGCCCACATACTTTAAATTACCACATCAAATTAATTACAACCCGTAAGGTGTAAAAGGTCCAATTGATCACTTAATAAATTTGGACCAAATACAAATATCATTATGAGCCATATATCTAACCCATAAAATTTGCAATCCAATGTGAAGCCAACATATGGAATAATTAATTATTCTAACAAAATTGTCTAAAGATTGATGATGAAACTATACGATTATCTAGTATTATATTCTTATATGACTTCTTTGACTACTAAACTTACATTGAAATTTTCATTTTTTGCATTTTCAATTTTGCTAGTATTGTGTGCTTTGAATGTCAATATAGACGCCTTCATCATTTCCCACTGTTTTGCATGAGAGCAAATTTTGTTGGTTGATAAACAATTTTTTTCGTATATATTTAATCATTGGTTTTATTGAGAAGGATAAAAAATGAGAACTGGAACCACAAGCATCAGAACTTAAGTGTAGCTGCAGATGAAAATCAGGCCAAGCATACAGTTCAGAACCAGATTAACGATGAGGGAACTGTCAGTATAAGATATTAAAAATAGAATCACTCCATTTTTTTACTTATTTGATGCAATTGTTACATTTATATATTTATGCACAAGCAACATTTACAAATTTACTTCTAATATAGAGACCCGTCGCGGACAAGGAGAAATATTATGAGAAAGAATTGAGTCCTAGAAAACAAGATTCTGTGGCTAAACCAGAGAACAAGGCCGTTGTCCAGTCACTGATGGTTTCAAGCCGCATTCCCCCTGCTGATCCAACTAATGTTTGTCTCATCGCTTATTTTACTTGAGCTATAACTTTTCAGCACATCTCTTTTTTCCCCTTAAATCTTGATTTATAATACGTGCTATGAAAAACTAATTATAAACAAGCCTATCTGATAATATAATCAAACTGGTATTTTGGACTCAAACTTCACAAATCATCCTACAGTAACAACTGAGGCAACGGGTGATTAATTTTGGAACAAACTGCACATGTTGCGTAAGTTCTTTCATGCACATTCGTTGAAAGATAGTTGCTATTAACATTACTTTATTTCATGCTGCTTTATTTAGTGTCTGTCTCTTTAAATTCTTGTCTCGTTTCTTTCTCTATTTTTTTCTTTTAGCATCCTACATGAATTGGTATTGGATTTTTTTCCCCTAAAGCTTGATGGGAATCTTAGAATAGATATTATTTCATCTAGTTTCGAATTTTAAAATTCATTTTAAGAAACATAATTAGAATTTGATTTAATGAATTTTATTAGATATTTCCTGCTTCGAATAGGATCTTTGAAACCCTAATGAAGGAGCATATGTATCATAATTTACACTATTTCAAGAATGACATGCTTTCATTTGTATAATTCTTCTTCCGGTTCTATTGCCCTCCTTCTATCTCCCCCTCTTCTTCTCTTTTCTCCCTCCTTTGTCTTCTTCTTTCCCCTTTTATCATTCTCCTATAATTCTACTACTTGGTTCAATTGCATCATATTTGGTTTATGTAGCGATAAGAAACTCCAAAAAATAACATGTGCAACTTCTCCACAAAAATTATCATGGGATCCACAAGAGGAGTACATATTCCTCTTGTACTTTAAGATTATGATGTAATTATATTATGTACATCTGTTGCAGATGTACCTAGTAAGGCTCCCCAACATAGTGGCCATTGATCCGAGGCCATATGATCGAAGCACGTATGTTGTACAGGACTTGTTTGCGACAGATAGTTCTGGCTCTAGAAGACAAATCCCTTTCAAAATTATCATTCGTTGGAAGCATGTCAAGAATCCTGATGGTACAACGTCTTTAAGTTTATTTGTTGATGTTTTATTACTAATTTAACACATGAGATCATGCATGATCATGAAACTTTAGTCAACCCTTCATATTTCCATTGGCCATGGGCCAGATTCAATATAGAAGTACCGCTGGAGTTATTCTACACATAATTTTTGGATTAAAATCATGTCATTATTCTGAATTACAAAAAATGTGTAACTGCTTTACGACAACTTGCTAATTTTTTTCGGAATGAAAATTAATATGATGTTATTATAGAATTGTTATTTCAAAGATCTCATATCTCGCTCTTGCTGACACCTCTATGACTTGGGTCTTACCATCCTCATTTTTTGCTCGGCATTACTAATTTCCTCGTGTTTATCCATTTGTGGCTTTGAATATTGTGTTATGTTACCATGTAGTGGCTTAAAGTAGGAGCATTTACCATCAGGCTGTTACTTTGAAGTCACCAATAAAAAAAAATTTAGGCTGTGTTTTTATGAACATTTCTTTCTGTCTCTTTCTTCACAGGTGTCTTTTATATCTTGATCATGCAGTTGTCACACGTCTCGTAGTTATACAATTTGCAATGTAGCCCATGTCGTCGATCTGGTGACTGGTCTGTGACTACAGCGTGTGCATCATGGTATCTTTATGTACAAAATTGCCTTACACTCATAAATTTATAATTAGAGAACAATCCGAGACCCTAGATTGGAAAAGAATTGCGTTTAGGTTAGGAAGTGGAGGAAAGAAACCCTGGGAGTGTGAGACGTTTAAACCTCAAATTATTGAAATCCTAGAAGTTACGTTAAGGACTTGTGATTACAACTCTATCCAGGTCAAAATGGACGTCATGTTTGATAAGCAAAAAAGATCGAATAAGAAATCCAGTTACCATATTCAAATATTACAACATAATTGAAACTCATCACTCTAAATGGTAATCACAAGATACAAATGTAAAAGAAAAGAATCACGTACCTGTAGCCAAAAGAGAAATCTGCATAGGGTTTTCAAATTCTTTCATCTGTCATGTTCAAACTTTTTGAGCTTTTAATGAAGATCTGTATGCAATAACAAGTATCCGAGATTAGACATTGTTGGAAATCTACTTAACATGCTCAGCGAAAAATTAAAACAATTTTTTATTCCCATCAAGAATTATCTTTGTGTTTAGATAGAAATTGTGATAAAGATGTACCTTTTAAAATTCTGCAAACTTTTTGCTTTTCTTCTTGTTCCAGCAACTTCAATCTGTTACCTCTAGCTGTCCAATTGTTCAGCCTCCAACAGTGATCCACACAGAGAACAAGATTGTAGGATTAGAGTTTTCTTCTTGTACTAGCAAGAATAATGAATTCACTATAAAATTGTAAAAGTTATTTATCTAAGCCCAAATGGGATTGGCCTGACCCGATCTAATATTTAATTAATCAATTTAATGAAATTCAGTCCATGAATTAATTAATTCGGGCTTATAAATAACCAACCAATTAATTTATTTGTCCAACGATTGTTAAATTAATTAATTAACAAATTACAATCTTCCAATTCTCTTCTATGTGCGATCCATTAGGTTCCTGATCACAATGCCTAACGACGTAAAATATTATTTTGGTCTAATCAAAATTAATAAATTAAAACACCTGTTTAATTTATCATAAATTCACACTCGCCGTCTCAAATTAACATCTAGCAATGTGTCAGACAATACACGTGACGAGAAATGTCACGTGGCTTGACAAAACCAAACTCGTTCGTTTACCGTGAAATTATAATCCTTTCGTCAATATGATCCTATCAATTACGAGATATGGAAGTTTGTCAATCCCGATTATCGATCATATCTTTCACTCCACTATTAAGTCAATATAAGTCTAAAACTCCTTTTCAACTTATGAGTATACCTTAGCCAAGGATTTCGTTATTGACTTAATTAAATGAAACGCAGATCATAATCTTTTACTATCTAAGAGTGACGATTTCTCTATTGATCATTCTCAACCTTCATACGATTCTTGACATGCCTGAACGATGCCGTATTAGCGACCTTTGGCCGAGCAAAATCCAACACCGCCAAAGTATGACTGTCTTCATATAAGGTACCATGACGACCTCAAATTAAAGGACCGGACCAATTCCACTACCGAACGTTAGAGATTAACCATTGACACTCAAATAGTTATCCATGTGGAATCTCTCGGTAGATCTCCAATGTTTTGTTCTATAATAAAATATCAACATGTTCATTTAAGTGTCACACACTTTAGTTTGTGAGATCAGCTACTTACTTCACAAGTAAGAAATGTCACACGTAATGGTCTATCCGTAATAACGATATTCGTATCTCGTTATTACGTATGACCACGGACGATTTAAGATTCAATCATATGTAATTTGTATTTCACAACCACAACTCCTTGTGATTAACAAATTACTAAAATTTGAATCTACGGACTCTATTATTTAATTTAATTGTCTATTAATTAAATAATAGATCTACCATTAAATTATATTAATTATATATTAAAAGTACTTATGTCCAATGTTGATTGGACTTAGGACATAAAACTTACAAACTCCCACTTGCACTAGATCCAATAACTTATGTATCCAATATCATAAGAGTCTACATGACGATCATGTTTATGCTATGACAACTCTTTGCCAGTGAATCTGTAATATTGTCAAATGTGGGAATTCATTATTCTCTTTACGTCATTTCTATGTATTATCTCTCTGATGATATTATACCGCATTAATACATGTTTGGATCATTGATGGGGCCTTAGTTCTTTCGCTTTCGCGATGGCTTCATTGTTATCACAATACAATGGCATGTGATCAACAATATTAGGAACTACCCCAAGTTCATTAATGAACATCTTGATTCACATTGCAACTCTTTGCTACTTCTGAAGAAATCATGTATTATGTTTTCGCTATTGAATCAACTATTGTTTAATGTTCAGAACTTTTCCAACACATCGTTTAAGAGTAAACCAATTTCTCCATATAAAATCTTCTCAAAATTTTATCTATATAGATTGGGATGAGCTAAGCAATCTTCTAGATCTATCTCTATAGATCAAGTTGCTTTTCTATATCGTTTATGAATAAATCCTTTAACAACTATTATTTCAACGATTGAAATATAGGGATGTCGTTTGCTATAATATTAGGAATGTGACAATGATCCCACTATCTTCTTGCAAACACACAATTCGTCTTCATATTTGATAAAATCAAATATTTTGATTTTTTCTATCAAATCGAAGATTTCAACTCCAAGAGGTTTACTTTAACCCATAATCATGGTATGTAACTATTACAACCAAAATTCGAATGAACTTCAGTATGGCTACATGCGAAAGGTTTCGTCAAGATCAATACATTATCTTTGTTTGTTATCTTTTGCTACTAGCCTTGCTTTGTATGTATGGATATTCCCATCCATGTCAACCTTTTATTGTAAACCATGTACAACCTATGGGTTTTATCCCATCAGGAGGGTCGACCAAGGTCCAAACCTTGTTCACATACGTCGAGATCATCCCGAGTTTCATGGTCTCTTGCTATCTCTTTTAAGTCAAAACTTGACTTTATTTTTGTGCAATTAGTAGGTTCATCATCCTGGATCAATAATACCTGATTAGTAATCGTGGATTCGCACCTTCTTCAAGGTCGAATGATCCTACTAGATTTAAATGGAGCTGTCATGTCCTCAGGAGTCTCTACTTTTTGATTAAGAGTATGTCTCATATCAGATATGGGATCAAACTCGGATTCATCTACTTGGTTAACTATATCTGTGGACTCTTAAACTCTTTCAAGTTCTATTTTGCTCCCATTGTCCTCCCCTAGAGTAAACATTTTCTCTAAGAAGACGATCTGTCATGAGACGAAGACTTTCTTCACAATAATAAAATATATATTCAAATATTTGTTTTGAATATCCCACAAATATGTATTTATTGGATTTAGTCTCAAACTTATCTAATTCAAGGCGCTTCAAATAAGCGTCATGGCCCCAAACTTTCATATGAGATAAATTGGGACTATTGCCTTTTCATAACCTATATGGAGTTCTGTTAACCAACTTAGATGTGACATAATTTAGTTTGTTACACACTGCAATCAGTGCATGACCCCAAAGTGATTTTGGCAGATTTGCATGGCTTGTTATTAATTGTACTATATCTAATAGTTTACGATTCTTTCTTTTAGATACACCACTATACTACAGTGTATATGGAGGAGTTCACTGCAAGAAAATCTCATTCTCTCTTAGATAATCTAAATTTTATCTTTAAGATACTCTCATTTCGATCGAATCTTAATGTGATCTTTACCTTTTTGCTTCTCTACTTTTAGCTTGAATCCTTTGAACATTTTAAGAACTTCATGCTTGAATTTCATCAAGTATATACATGATAATTGATGACATAAGATGTGAACCCCGTAGCAACTTAGACTACGAAATCCACAACTAAATTGATGCGGAACCCAAGAATGCCAATTGATAACAAGTTTGGATTTGAACCCAACAAGATGAAACAAAGAACCAAAGGGTAACGGTGATACAATGGACCCCTTGCTTACAAATTGAAGAACCCACGATCCGGTGTTGAACGCCACAAGGAGTTATCCTTGATAAGTTCTAAATTATTGTTCAAAGAAGAACAAATTGGAAGAAAGCAAAAGCCTCTCTTGAATTTAATAATAATTGCCAAAAGTCTTTTTACAATGTAATGGAGAGAGTATTTATTCTAAAGCTAAAAATTGTGCAAAATAGTCAAAATATGGAAAAAAGTCTAATTGATATCAAATTCTAACAAAATAAGGAAATTCGGGAAAAAAAGAAAATTTTGCCGGATTTTTGTACCATGCGGCCACATGGTACATTTCCATACGGTCGCATGGAAGGAACTTTCGCTTCTCAAGAAAACCCTGCATGGGTCTATGCGGCCGCACCACTTTAAAACCATGCGGCTGCATGGTTATTACTTTGGCCTCTATCTTCGTTCCCTTGTATTGAGTTGATCCACTATGATTCGGCTTTTGACCCGAACACAAAACTTGTCCCATTTTGAGTTCCAAACATCATCCCATCAATGGTTTCTTGAACGAGCTAACACATCACTTGTTTCACTTGCTTTGCTCTCGATTGCGTCATCGGTCTGCCTTCGATAATCAACGGGTCTCGAATCGAACTAGCCGTCTTCAAGCTTGATTCTTGGATCACATAATCCCCTCCCTCTTCAAGAGGATTCGA